GTTACAAGAGAGGTAGTACGCGAAGTCTGGCTCTGCAGAGATAATCCTCCACCTGGTGTTCCTCGGGCAATCGCACGCCCCGAGCTCACTGCTGGATACCCATAGGGTACACCACGCTGGAATGTGGTCCCCGCGGAGGTCCAGAGCTACTGCGGTGTGTGCAGAAGTGCAGACGCGTCACCCTGCAGCCCCCTCCGTGAACAAACACAGGAAAGACCATCAGTGCCGCGCGCAGGAAGACCTTACAGAGTGGAGGATGGGAAGGGTGGAGCACATCCAGAGAAGCCCGAGTCGTTTGAATGGCCTGCTTCCACCAGCCTAGGAACAAGTGGCTGCAGCACAACCTGGGCCTCTTCTGCCCGAAGCACAGGACGGCTATGCCGCAAGACAACTCTTATACTGAGATGGAGTATCGTGCACAGGGACAGGTCGTCTTCAACAGCCGGACCTCCATCGTGCAGAAGGGCAGGGCTGCTGCCGGTAGCTCAGGGCGAGATGGAGCAAAGACTGCCTGCGAAACTCCGGAGAAGGAGCATCGACAAGCGTGAGGAAGACCTGCGAGAGCATTCAACGGCAGAGGTAGAGGGGGTGCGGCGCAGTGCCGAGGGCGATGGATGGCTAAAGGACTAGGGTAGGCAGGCTGCAGAAGAGGCAGGGTCCCAGCTCACCTCTCTGGGAAGCACAGGAATGCATCGCCTCGCTCATCTTGGAGCCCATCTGCCCCTCCGCACTGCACCGCCCTGCCCACAGGGGACACAGTGTGGAGGGAAGAGAAGGGACTAGAGGCTGGTCGAGACCTTCAGGTCCAGCACGTTATCATTTGTGAAGCCCAGATCCTTGCGGCTTCTCCAGCCAAAGGGCCGGCATCCTCCCCATCCCAGCCACAACAGCGGCAGCTTCACCACGGAGCAGCGGCAGCTTGTATCCTGGGAAGCCGCGGCCTCTGCCCTGCCGGATGAGCACTGCTGCAGCAGCATTTCACCAGGGCCACAGCTCTGACCTCCCCGACGGTCCTCGGTCATTGGTTGTGTTCGTGTACTTGGCACAGCCTCCACAGGGGCCTAAGGTCTGCGTGAAACTATACACCCTGCACATGCAAACCGTTCAGACGCGTGAACAACACAGGTTTGACACAGAGTCACTCTACAAGGGGATCTCTCAACGCCCTGTGCACCCTGGGGGATCCTCCTGCCTCGCCCAGGGAGAGTTTTCAATCCTTGTACACTGTTGCCTTTAGCATGTTTTTTGTTTCTGTTTTTTTTAAAAACATGTTTTGAGGCTTCTATTAAAACACAGAAATACAGAACAATTAAAAACCAGCACAAGTTTTGCCTTTCCCAGCAACCTATTTACAGCTAGTTCCAAACACCCTCTTGCACATTTTGGTTGCTTAAAGGAAAAAAGAGCGAGAGGGGGGAAAAAAAGGGAAAGAAAAACACTTGACAGAGGAAAACCGTAAAGGAAAACTTTACAAACTGCCGCAGGGTCTGGACGTCCCTGGTCACCACGCAGGGTTCAAAGTAACAGCCCCACTCCCAGCCCCTCCACCCTCCCCTTCCCCAAAAAAGAAAGGAAAAAGAAACCCAATTCACATCAAGTTTACTGCACATCTGGTTTTCTGTGTAGAGGCGAATCCGGTATGAAAAGCATCCCATGTGGTGTCCTCCACCGGCGTTGGCCCCCAACCCTCCCCCGAAGACAGGCTTACAAACGTTTGTCCAGGCAGCCGGGTCCCCTCCCCACCCCTGAGCGCCGACCGGGGTTAGAACGGCAGGTTCGCCATGTTCCCAGGCCCGGGGAGGTAACTCATCTGGCTGTCCAGGGAGACACTCCGCTGCCTCATCTGGTGCGGGACCATGAGGTTCTGCTGAGGCGGGGGCCCCATGAGAGAGCCCTGAGGTGACATCATGTGTCCTGTCTGAGCATACATCTCCCCCGACACAGACATGCTCCTCTGCTTGGCCTGCATCAGCATGAAATTCTGCTGGGCCATCAGGCTCTGCTGCGGAGACATCATGCCCTGGTGCATGCTGTTGCCCATCATGCCTTGCTGGGGCGGTATGCCTGTCCTGCCCAGCATGGGCACCTGTCCGGGATGGCACATGGGCATGCCAAGTCCCCTCTGCACGCCCTGCTGCCCGGGGAGGCTGGGGGCATTCATACCTGGCCGCACCGGGGGCTGGTCAGCCATCATGTTCTGCAGGTTCATGAGGTGGAGGTTGGAAGGCTGCGATTTGGGCGCCTGGCTGTCGCTCTTGGGGAAATACTGCAAGGTGCTGCTCGGCTTCTCCGACGGGATGATCCTGGAGAGGTCAAACTCGGGGATACCCGTGGGTGTGGGGCGGATGACCTCGCTGAGCTCAGGGTCATTCAGCACCGACGCCACCCCAGGAAGCACGGGCGGGTAGGGCTCACCGATCCGAGGAGGGATGTTCTTGCCCATCATGTGCTGCTGAGGGGGCATCTGGCCAGGCTGCTGGGAGGGAAGGTCCTCAGGCGGCAAGGGCATCCCCGGCGCGTAGTGCTGCTGCGCCCCGGGGCCGCCTCCCCCGCCGGGGGCCATGGGCATGCCTCCGGCGGGAGATGGCATAGCGTTGTGGGGCTGCTGCATGCGGGGGAACACGAGCTGGTTGGAAGGAATCATCTGCGAATTGTTGGGCACGGGGCCGCACTGCTGGTTCAGTGAGTCCTGGGGCCCCGGCGGCAGCATCATGGGGTTCTGGGGGGGGACACCCGCCCCTGGCGCACTCGGGTGCATAGGAATGTTGGAGCCCAGAGGGTTCGGGGAGGACATCATGGAGGTGGGGGGTGGGTCGTGGGAGAGGGGTTGCTGACCAGGCAGGTTCATTCCCATGGGGCTCTGAGAGGATCCAGGCCCCACGGAGTTCAAGTGCAGTTGATTCGGCTGATTCCCCGTCACGCCTAAGGAGGGGAAAAAGACAGAAGAGGTCAACTTTGCCCACAGACCTCTCAGGGCTGCAAAATCCACACCCTGGAAGCCCGCCGAGCGCTCCTGCTCGGAAAGGCCTGGGCATGGAGTGTGATGCTCAAGTAAGCAGCCACAAGAGGGGCTTGCAAAGCACCAGCGCCAGGAAAAAGTGCCCCAGACTCCAGTTCCCCGAGCTCCTGAGCAGCGGAGAGCTAATTCCAGCTTTGTCCCATCCCACACTGGATTTGTAGTTCCTCACATCCCACTGATTATAGAGTCTCGACTGGCTCTGCACGTTGGGACAGCCCTACACCACGACCTCAGGAGGGCTCTCGGCCACCTGGAAGCCACTGAGGAGTGACCCCTCACCACTGCCTGCCTGCAGGGTCAGCCACCCGGCAAGCTCCTGCGACCGCACAACCTTGGGCAGTGAGGAGGAAAAAAGAAGCAAAAGAGTTGGCAGTCCGACACAGGTGCTGTCCGGGCAGGAGGACTGGGTTCGCTGATATAGCAGAGCAACCAGCGCCTGCGGAGGGGTCCAGGTTAGGAGGGAGCCAGTGCATTTGCATGCCTGCGGTCACCCTAAGTGACTACTCAGCAGTGGAAGAGTCAAAAAGTTGATTTTTCATTTTGAAAACTTCCAAAAATATTTATCAGACAGCTTTAACCCCCTAAATCAAGTGGTACAGCGTGCTGGAATTCCCCTTTGAGCTAGTCACCGAGTGACGAAAAACACTCATTTGCCTAGCTGTCCTCCCCAGTGCCATCAGCTAGCGGAGCGTATCTGGCCGTCGCCTACTGAAATCAGAACTACGCCACGACATAGCCCAGCCTGTGCAGGCACCTGGGCTCCACTCAAAACACCAGACTCCCAAACCCTGTTCAAAGCGTCCCTGTCCTGCTGCACAAGAACGCGAGCGCTCCAAGCAGCAGACCTCTGCCTGCAAGTCTTGGACCTGAGGCAACTCTGGGAGCCTCAGCGATCCAGGGCCAACGTGTCTGCACAGGGTAAAGGCAGTTCTGAAAACTTCCAGAGCTCGTGGAAGAAAGGTGCCTCCAACGCCGGACTGGCTCATGTCCTTCCAGACAGCACACCCGAGCCAAAAGCTGAGGGACAGCCTGGGCACAGGGTGGAGAAGTGAGCAGACTGTTACGAACGAGGGCAAATTTAAGCTACTTGACACCACGGTCGGGGGAAAAACACAGTTTCTAATGTCTCCTCCACTCGGTGCCTCAGGCCTGCTGACAGCCACAAGATGGTCGGACCCCTCGCACGCCCAGCCCCAGACCAGCCCCAGAAGTATGTACCTGACATGCTTCCAGGCGGGAGCATAGGCCTGTCCGGCAGCAGCTCGTCATCAGAGGTGGCGATGGTTTTGATGGCATTGTGGTAAAGCGGTGTGGAGCTGGGCATGGCATACTTGGACATCTGGGACATCATCAGCGAGAGGGGGTTCTGGGAAGGGGATGGATCTGGAGAGGAAGTAAAAGGCATGTTGGGATTCATGGTGCTAGAGGTGTTACTGGCTGGTGCGGAAGAGCTGCTCCGAGGCCCAGAAGGGAGAGAACCTGCAAGCGAGAGAAAGACTAGCTGAGTACTGCCTGCGTACCGTGGCTTGCTCCCGTCGAACAGCAACCCCGTCCCCTCCTTCTAGCAGCAGCGACCAGAGGAGGCTGCAAAACCCAGAGCCAGCACAGCCCGGCCCCCTCCGGTCTCTGAGGAGGCTCATGCGTGGACCTCGCTCCAGAACGGTGATGGACCTCCGCTCCAAACTGCCTCTGACTGCCCAGCACAGACACGTCTTTTCCTGCCCGTATCACAGAGCGCGAGCTGGGGTTGGAGTAAAAGCTGCTCTGTTCGCCTTCCCATCTACCTGAAAAGGCCCCGTTTGGACTCCCGGGAAAAAAAGAGTTGCTCCATGAGACGCAAGGGCACGCACAGGCAGGAGTGTCTCCCCGCTCCTACGAGAGCACGCGGGCTGGACAGAACCACTGTCCACACACGCACCAAAACCGAGCAGGCACGCTCACTCGCACACAAGATACCCGGCATACCCTGATCCAGTCCTCCCATGGAAGTAGACGAGTTCATGCTGAGGGTCTGCTTGCTCTGGTTGACTCCTGGGCTGGGCATGGTGGCTTTGGGAGAGGGCACCCAACCGGGGGAAGGAACAGCCATAGAAGGGGACTTCAGGCGGCTTGGTGATCCCGTTGGAGACCGGACGTTCAGCGAGGAGCTCATCACCTGGGGGGACTTGAGGGGTCCAGACTGGTTTGAAGGTGGCATGCTGACCATCTGCGAGGGCGTCTGTGGGGACTTGAGGTTGGCAGAGGGGGAGGTGACCAGAGGCGAGTGCACCTGGCTGAGGGTGGGAGACTTGAGGTGGCCCATGCTGGGGGAGTTCATCTGGCTGATGTTGATAGTGAGGTCAGAGGGCCGGCGGCCCAGCCCCCGGGAAGGCGCTGGGTGCATGTTGGCCAGGTTGCCCCCTTGCGTGGGAGTGGGATTGGAGGCCGGAGGCAGAGGGATGTGGCTGAGCCTGGTGGTGCTGCCGATGCTGCCAACAGGCATGGTGCCCTGCTCAGGGCTGAACATGTCCGAGCCGCTGCCCATTTCCTGGGGCATGTTGGGGTAGGGCCCTTGCCCGCTCGAGAAGCCTTGCTGTCCTTGGTTGGGGAACTGGGAGGGAATCATCATTTTCTGGGGTCCCCCCAGCATTGCACTGCCATTGCCATTCTGAGCCCTCGCCCTGGCCAGCTCCTCAGGGCTCACGCCCTGGTGGGCCATCATATCGGGGCCCCTCATCTTCTGCGACATCATCATCTGCTGCTGCGGGGTCATCTGGACATTGAGGTTCATGTTCATGTTCATGTTGACATTCATGTTCATGTTGAGGTTGCCGGGGCCCATGGGCGCGTCCATGTCCCGAAGGCCCGACTGACTCATAGGGGGGCTCAGCATGCCCCGAGAGCCTGCAAAATCCATTCCCATCGGGGCACTGCTCAGGCTGTCCCCTGTTATCTGCCCAGCAAACATGGATGGATCCATCTGCCTGTGAGCCTGTATCATCCTCTCCATTTCCATGCCCTGGCTCATGGAGTTGCCGGACATCCCCATGGGCCTCTGCATTGCCACCGGGCGTTTCTCCATCAGCTGATGCCGCAGGATCTCCTCCCTGGCACGGGGATTCATGAACCTCTCGGGGTCCCCTTGCCCTGACGGGTAGGGCAGGGTGCCTTGCGGAAAGTTCCCAGGGCCTCCCATAGGAGGCATATCGTCGCTCCATCCCATGCCGGGCCTGACTGGCCTCTGCATGGCATTCATGGGCCCAAGAGCATCCAAGGGCATGTTCTGCATCCCTCCGAAGCCAGAGACTCTCTGCATTTGATTCCCAGGGAACCGTGGCCCCGGGAAGGGTGGCCCCCCCCGCAGCTGCATGGCGTCCTGCACATCTATGGGTCCCCGCAGCTGGCTGCCCATCCCTGGCGGCCACTGCTCTCCAGGCTTGCTGTGGTAGGGTGGTGGGGGCCCACGCATCATCATGCTCCCCATCGACTGTGGGATCATGATCTCCTGCATGGGCCGGCCGTGGATGCTGATCTGCTCCTCTTTCCGTCGCTTTTCCTCATAGTACTCTTCCTGCAGCTTCCTCCAGGCCACTTGCTCTGGCGTCAGGCTGTCCTGGTTCAGCCGCTGCATCATCATGTTCATCTGCTGCCCCATGTCAGCGCCTGGGTGGTGGGGCACCTCGTGTTCCAGACTGGGCCCACCGAGGCTCTGGGTCTGGGAGATCATGGACTGCAGAGGCTCTTCATACTTCTTCATGCTGGGGGGGGGCGCAGGGGGCTTGGCAGGGGCAGGGTGA